AGTGAATCCTGGCTTTCTCAAACACCATTAACATATCCAACGGCAGTAAAAGGACAACCTGGACATCAGAACCGGGCAGGAAACGCTTAGATGACAACTTAATGACTGTTTATGCTTCGAGGTTGGCACCTGTGCCAGGGTCGCCTGACTGACAAGATAGAAGTGAGGGCCGGCGTGGACAAGGTTAAGCAAAGTTAGGTCTCCTTTTTAATGGTAGAACGTGATCCTCTGAACAAATCATCTTCATCAGATTCTCTTGGCTGATTGAAGAGGCCATCACTATTATCAGTTGTTGCCTGTTGACATTCCCTCAAAAAGGGAGCAGAGAGATCCAAATGGTCTTTAGATCAATTCCTGGCGCTAAAGAAACAGCTGTGGTTGTCGGAGAGCACAGCACCACTGATGTAAAATTTCCCATGTTTCATTGGGACAACAGGAACGTGTTTCCTCAGGTTCAGCACACAGAAGCCGACTCAAGGGGACCAAGCTACATGCTGAGCTGGTCAAACTTAGTGATATTGTAAGCATCATTCTGGTGGTCCTGGTTTTGATAGACATGAAAAATGCAAGGTTGAAGAGGGGGTGGAAAACAGCTTGACACCTTGAGGCAGGGTCAAATCCCTGCAAAGAGATGCTAAAAAGGCACTGGTTTTAGAAAGAAAAAAATCTCAGCTGTAGCAGAGACTCCACGCATCGAAGATACCAGGACCATGGGCTGTCTGTCAAGGAGCACTGCCTGTGTGGAATGGAGCAGGGCTAAGGGAGGAGCTCAACGTTGAAGAAACAGAGAAGTGGGACTTCACAAGCCCTTTGGAGCCCAGAGCATTGTGCGTGGGTCCCATATGTCAGAAATTGAACTACAGGATTTGGATTTATGCTGATGGATATTAGTTTTGCCTTGGTGTGGTTTTCTTTTTTCTTTTTCACCTGGGGGTTTCTTTCTGGGAGAGGGGAGGAAGAGAGGAGAGAGAGAAAGGAAGTGTAGAGAGACCTCGTGGGAAGAGAGAGAGATACAGAGAGACAGAGAAGCAGAGAGACAGACATGGGGAGACAGAGGGAGACTCACAGAGAGACAGACAGAGAGAGAGGGGGGGGGCAGGGGCTGGGGAGAGGGGAAGAGAGAGAAAAGGAAGAGAAAAAAAGAGCTGGCATGATTTTCTATATGCCCCAGTTCTTCCCTTTAGGGATAAGAAAAATTAAATCTATAACTTTTTTTTTTCTTTTTTTCTTTTTTGGTTTTTTTTCGAGACAGGGTTTCTCTGTAGTTTTTGGTGCCTGTCCTGGAACTAGCTCTTGTAGACCAGGCTGGCCTCGAACTCACAGGGATTCGCCTGCCTCTGCCTCCCGAGTGCTGGGATTAAAGGCGTGCGCCACCACCGCCCGGCTATAACTTTTTTTAATTTCATAGGATCTCATAGTTGAGAGTCTGGAGGCTTTTTGAAGTTGAACTTATTTGATATCATCTTAACAGATGAGACTCTGGATTCAAGGAATGGGAAGTTACGGCTTAAATGACTTGTTTGTGTATCAAGTTGACAAGGGGTGGATTGTGCTGGTTAGTTTTGTCAATGTGACTGTCTTAGTTGGTGTTTGGTTACTATGAAGAGACACCATAACCATCGCAACTCTTACAAAGGAAAACATTTAACCGAGTCAAGCTTTTTCAGAGGTTTAGTCCATTGTCATCATTGTGGAGAGCATGGTGGTACACAGGCAGACATGATCTTGGAGTAGTTGAGAGGTCCAGATCCAGATCCACAGGCAGCAAGAAGTGTTGGCTCCACAAGGGTCACGCAAGGATGGGGACAGACCACCGAATCTAGCAAACTAGAAACAAACTTTATTCCAGGAAAAAAAATGAAAATTTGGAAAAAAAAATCTCCATGGGGCACAAAAAGCTTATCAGCTAGCTGAGACCACAGCCTGAGCTTGGTCTTGTAAGGCTGTGGCAAAGGACAGCTTTGAACCCCACCTTTTTGTAGTAGGGACTAAGCAATAACAAGGGAATTTTTACAATCTCAAGGTAAAACTCAGATACAAGTTGCCCTTCTTTGCCATTCCCATTAACAGAGTTTTTCAGTTAAGCTAGTGTTTGTATTTAGTTCATTGTTTTTTCCTGGTGTTCCCTGACAGTGTTTGCTAAGTTGGGGGCGTAGCCCCAGCCCCTGGCCTGGGAGTTGCTTTGCTCTGGACTCCAAATCCCAGCATGCAAGGTCCCACAGTTTATTTAAGAGTCCTCCTAGAGGAGGAACACATGGTTTTCAGGTCTGCATGGGCTCCTCCTGTCCTGTCTTCCTGCCATGCGCTTGGCCTCCCGAGAGCGTCATCCTTAATAAAACGATGAGCATTTTGATTTGGTTTGATTTGACCTAATTGGATTTCTTGTGCCGACGGAGCTGCTCTTATTCCTATCAGTGTTTACCCAGGCTCTGCCCCTCCCCTGCCACGGCCAGTTTTGCATAGCAGGGAAGGGTGTGGGACGATGCACAACCAAAAAGTCAAAAGTCACATACATCCCATCATTTAAGAGTTAACTCACATCAATTTCTGGTCATGAGTGGCCAGGGGGCGGGTATCTAAAGGCTGATCCTCAGTTTGCAGTGACTCTGCGTTTGCTTCAACCTTGCAAGCAGAGCTATGGGTTGTAAAGCAGAGTAAACCACTGTTAATAGTTAATCGTTTAGCTGCTGAGAAAGCTGCTGACAGTCTGCTCTCATTCTCCTAGGCTTACAACTTTATATGTCTTTATTTCTACATTCTCATTTCTGCAATCTACATTTTTATATTCTTATTCTTGGACTCTTCGGGAAGAAAGAGACTCTGAGCTTGGAGTGGACTTTCTGAAACCGCAAAGCCCATCCCCAGTGACACCTCCTTGATGCGGGAGTCCCCTCTGTATGCTGGGAATATCGTTGGTTAATAAAGGAACTGCTTTGGGCCTGTAGCAGAGCTATAGGGGAACAGAGCTAGGTGGGGAAAACTAAATGGAATGCTGGGAGACAGGAGGCGAAGTCAGAGAGAAGCCATGGAGCTGCCGCCGAAGACAGACGTGCTGAAACTTTGCTGGTAGGCCACGACCTCGTGGCGATGCACAGGTTAATAGAGATGGGTTAAATTAAGATGTAAGAGATAGCCAATAAGAAGCTAGAGCTAATGGGCCAAGCAGTGATTTAATTAATATAGTCTCTGTGTGATTATTTCTGAAGTCTGGGCAGCCAGGAACAAACAAGTGGCCTCCCACTGCACTCCTAATCTTTTCAAACAGAGCCACGCCCTCAAATCTGTGAGCCTATGGGGGTCATTCTTACTCAGACTCCCACGGTGACACAGCCTAGGAACCTGGGAGAGAGTCATAAGGAAGCAGTACCTAGCTCAGGTTGGCCTGTGGGCGTGTTTGTATGGTACTGTCTCGGTTGTTAACTGATGCAAGAAGAACCAGCCCACTGCGAGCAGCACTATTTAAGGGCGAGCTTGCTGAGAGCAAGGGGTCGAACAATGAGCCATATTTTTATTCTCCTTCCTGCCTTTGCTTCCCTTCAATAACAGATTGTGACCTGTAGTTATGAGCCAAATAAACACTTTCTGCCCAACGTTGCTTTGCCAGGATGTTTTATTAGAGCGCCAGAAATGAAAGTAGACCGGCCATGTTAATGCGACTCTGCTCTAATGGCAAATGCCCTCTGGATCTGGGAGGCAGAGAGTACAGGGACTCAGGGAGGCTGATTATAGAAAAACGTTGTCTGTGCGGAGCCATCATCCCCATACCGGGTGAACTTTGGGTAAAGTAGCTTTGGAGTTATCCACGCTTCAAAAACCCCTCACCTGTATTCTAAGTAAGTCCAGTAAAACTAACTGGTTCCCCCAGGGTGAGCTTTAGTGGAATCATACTTTTGAGGAGGGGATCGACACGGTTTAAGTCTCTCCAGGGAAGGGGCACTCTTAGCAGGTGACCTCCACCGAGGCCCCAGGGACAAGGCCAATGATATTGCCAAGGCCACTTGAACAGAGCTGAGCCCAGCCTTGGTTTTCTATCATTAGTCTGATTTGAAGGCTGTGTTTTCCTGAGCACCTTGAGTATCCTTAGCAAATGCTCTCCAGCTGAGCTCTCCCCACAGCCCCGGAGTTGCTGGAATCCCACTAAAACTCAGCTTACACGAGGTGAAGCAAACTTTGGGAGTCTAGTCTGCAGGGAGTCTCAGAAGACTAGAAACTGGATGCTTAGGCCTCATCACCTACTGATGCCCTGCAGTGCTCCTGTATTAGCAGATGTGCTCTGGGATCACGGTGCTGCAGGGAGCGCAGGGAGCACGTTCCACACCAGACCCGCTTTGAGAAAAAAAAAAAAAGAGCATTTTAATGCATCTTGGCTTTATATTTGCATTGTGTGAGGTTTGTGGGTTTATCTTGTTTTGTCCAGATGGCTGCACATCTGTCCAGCTATCTCCAGTTTTCAATGTCACCTAGCAGATCTGCCACAGGCATGTGTACCTGGGTTTTATCTCGGAGGCCTCTCTTGCTACAATAGGGCTTGTCTTATTGTCATCTTTCTGTTTGTTTGTTTGTTGTTTGTTTTCTCACACAGGATGTGAGATTTATTACAGAACACGATTTGGTGGGTTGCAGGACAGTACAGTGGAAGCCCTCAGGCATGCATGGGCTGCCCCTTGTTCAGAGACCCGACCAGGAACCCCATCTTCCACCCCACCACTATCGGAGAAGAGCCACTTCTCTGCTACCGTGTCGTCAAATTCATTTGCATTAAACTTGGTGAAAATCCTGCTTCTTTGAAGAATGCACCTTCCAGCGGCAGGGAACCTGAATTTGGCTCCACACAGGACCTTGGTCACATGTTCCTTAGTCTAGTTTTGTTCAGATGGACAGGATGAGCTGGCCAGTGTGAACCCTGACTACGGTGCCCTGGGGCTTCCCAAAGGCACCTACTTGCCTGGAGCCCAGCTTGGGGACAACATCGAGATCAGAGATGCTAATATCCACCAGAAAACTGTCTGCAAGGTCCCTTGGGGCGACCCATATAGGTAACCTGGCTGCACATGTTCCCAAAGAGGCTGCTCTTGGCAACCACTGCACACTAGGTCCCCATGAGGAGAGAAACCTGGTTTAATTGGCTTCAGGGTCATTATTGTTTGAGGCAGGATCTCTGTAGCCCAGGTTAGCCTTGACTCGCCACAACCTTCCTGTCTGTGTTTCTTGAATGCTAGGATTATAGGTATGAGTCAACACACATGGCCTCATTGGGGAATTTTTTTAAGTCTTGAACTAATTACTTAATTCCTGGAGGTTTCTGGTATACCCCCTTCCTCCAGAAAGCCTTGGCAGTGTCTGGTTCTTGCCTTTTGAGACTCTATGGCGCACTAGTCATTTAAATTTGGCCAAACCTACTGCATTTTTTTTCCCACACAGGCACAAAGAGAAACTAAACCAATGGTTGAGGTTTCCTAGCTGACAAGACAATGCCTACAGAGACAATTCATTGCAGGACCCATGGGGGAGAAGGGTGGTTTGCATAAATCCGTTGACAAACTGCTGTGACTCATGCTCTGAGTTGTAATGAAAGAAAGCAATTTCCCTTTACAAATATTGGAACAAACATAATTGTTGATGACATGTTTAGGAGAGTCACCCTGCCCTGAGGTCACAGAATGTAACCTTGGCGAGAATGTAGCGTCACGGATGCTTGGGTTTATTTGGTTTGGGGGTTGGTTTTTTTGTTGTTGTTGTTTTGGTTTTTTTTTCCAAAGCAACCATGTGCACCTAAATTTTTTTAAAAAGAGAAAACAAATTATCTTTTTTCATTATACATACCAACCCAAGTTCCCACTCCCTCCCCTCCTTCTACTCCCTCCATTTACTCCCCACCCCAACCCCCATCCACTCCCCAGAGAGAGCAAGACACTGCTTTGGGGGAGGGTCCAAGGCCCTCCCTACTATATTTAGGCTGAGCAAGGTATCCATCCAAAGAGAATAGGTTCCCCAAAAGCCAGTACAAGCAGTAGGGATAAATCCTGGTGCCACTGTAGATGGGATAAATCCTGATCCCATCTTGAGAGAAATACCATGTCCAGGGGTGATGAATCTGCCTGGGAATAGTGATACCTCCAGCCATGCTCCCAGAGTCAAGAGAGGGTGTCTCAGTCTCACGAGCACCCCAGGTGGAAATAGGGAGTAGGAAACAGGACCTGACTAAAAGTTGTTGGGCTTGGGTGTGTTATAATGCGTAGGTGACCAGGGAGGGTGAAGAGCTCCTCACGGGGCCTGCATCTGATACAGGCAAGTGGAAGCAGAGTGGTAAGGCGTGACTGTCACCATCACGAGGCCCTGTGTTGGGCCTCAGGCGACAAGTTCATAGCCACTGAGATAGACAAGGTTTCCGTACTCCACCCAGGCCCTGGCCCAGGACTTCAGGTCCACTGGAGCCCTGTGTTGTGAGCTGTGTGAGATCTGAGAACACCCCCTCACTGCTGATCACTGAAGTGTTCCCCATAGCACCCCTACATCCAACCCTAGCTGCAGTGTTGCACCCTGTCCTGTAATGAGGCTATGCTATCCCCAACCTGCCTCACAGACTGAACAAATGCTGGATCGATGGTGGGCAGGACCTCCCCTTGACAGGAATCTCTAAATATGTGCAACTCTGGCCACTACTTAAGCCTCAGCCTCTCTTCAGGACCCCAGTGATAGACTGGGGGAGTCTTTCTTCCAGATATGGTCACATTGAATAACTCCCCTTTTTTTCTGCCTTTTATTATGAATTTGGCCAGTCGGAGTTACAAAATGAGACTGTTTAGGAAGAAAGTGCCTAACTAATGCCGCTGACCTGACCCTAGCAAGATGTACACAGCTGCCCTGGACCTCACAGTTGGCCATAACCTGGATGTGATTGCAAGGGAAAGAAGAAAGGAGACTTAGAGGGTCTCTAGTCAAGGTCACCTGGCACTCCATTCTATCTCCACAACAGCCCAACATAGATGACCCCAAAACTCCTTCCAGGGGACACAGGAGCCACACTGTCAGCTGGGTATGACATGCCAGTGCCACTTGGTCAAACATTGAAAGAGGCAGCAATTAGCTCAGACAGTTAAACCTCCCCCTCCCCCATGTGTATGTGTGTGTGTGTGTGTGTGTGTGTGCACGCGCGCACACACATGTCTAGCCTACCATCCATCGTCTCTGACTCAGATGAGAGGATTCCTCTCTGCTCTGGTTCTGCGCTGACCAGCTGTTGCAGGCACACAGCCCTCTGGTTCCTGAGGAACTGCCTAAAGTGCCAGTACTTGAATGGAATGAGTATGACGCTGAGGAGAACATCTGGAAGCCCTTCGGCTTCCAGGGACCAGTGAGCCAACCGTGAGAGTTAGTAGGAGGTAGAGCAGGCCACCCAGGGCCAGCAGCATAAACTATAGGGGGTGCTTACAGATGTCTCTACTGCTGAACTGAAGGAAGCATGATCACGTGATACCTGTGGCTGGGGAAAAACAGGGGTGCCAACACCCTGATGTCAGCAGCAGACCTTAGTGTAGCCTCTCCAGCCCCATCACTGGGTGCTGGCTTCCATTGCCCTGGCCTCCGTTGCCCAATTCCTCTGCTTGCTCCTCATAAAGAGGGTTGTTGGGTGAGTGGCTCAGAGCCCCGTCTAAGCAGCAGCTAGCACCAATGTGGGTGGCCACGGGGACACCTAAATGTGTATTCCTGCTGATCATTTGTTGGGTCCCCTCTGGCCTACCTGCCACGGACACCTCCCTTGTGTCCATATAGTCAGCCCCTGGGCTGGGCTATGAGAAACAGAACAAGGAAAAGTCTAGGGTCTAGGAAGCCCTTTCCAGAGTGAGATGAGCCAACCCAGATGGTGGTCACCCTGCGATCCTACCCAAAGTCAGGCCTGGTGTCAAGGATAGGACTCCATGTCCATGGGACCACCAGGTGGGGGTCATCAGTCAGGGCACAGGTGTCCTCAGCAGGGCAGGGTCAGGTCACCAATGCCTGATGCCCAGCACAAGAGGAAAACCGCTGTATTCTCTACATGATGCCATCCCACCCAGCTCTATCAGGAAGAAGAAGGTTCCCTGGACTCCTAGATAGACAGCCCAGGGCCCAAGCCCCACCAACTCATGAGATCTGAGGGATTTTTAGGAGTTTAAGGAATGAGGCTTCCCCCAACAAGGGAAGTAAAGTCACAGGCCTAGGGTGCTCCAGGATCCTGGGAATAGGCCCCTAGTGAGCTGACAGGGAAGGTGAAGGACAAGGATGCTGGCCAGTCCTGGGGACTTTCCACAGAGTCCCTGCCTCTTCCTATGAATGTCTCTGGTGGTCTCAGGCATCTCCTAAGGTTCCTGAGATAGAGGCTAGAACTTCAAGATTCAGGACTTGGCCACCGCACTGGCAAGAGGGGGTCTTTCCTACTGAATGACAGACATGGGCCCCTGAAGAACCCGCCTCCTCTCATGATATCCAGCTGGGATGAGGAGCAGGCATAAGGACTCCTGCAGATTTCAAAGCATCATGGGTAGAAACAAACACTTGAGAGATACACTGTAACTCGGTTGGCAGAGTGCTTGCCTGGCATTCAGTTGCAGCCCAGAACCCATATGAGAAGCCAGGTGAATGTGGCAGTCCAGCTAAAATCCCCCACTCAAGAGACAGGATTCCTGAGGCAAGTGAGCTAGCTGAAGGTAAGCAAGCTGAATGAGTGAGCTCTGGGTTCAGCCAGAGACTCTGCATTTGTGAATAAAGAAGAAAGTGATTGAGGAAGGTACCAATCAGAGGTTGGTAATCAGAGGTTGTAATGTCAACCTCTGGCTTACACACACACACACACACACACACACACACACACACACGAACATGCAAGAGAGGAAGAAAACGGGACAGAAAGAAAAAAAAAGAAAGGCCCAATTCTTTAGAATTTGAATGGCCACATGGACCCAAAAGGGGGCATTTGGTGTCACTAAATGAGGGCTGAAGTGTTGGGGAGTCCCCCAGATCTGAGCTCTGCCTACGATCCTGGAACCTGAATAGGCAAGCGGGAACAGCCCAGGACCACCCACACTGGGAGGGCTGGACTCTACAGAGTAGTGCGGACTAACTTAGTGACTGTGGGCACCTCTTCTTCACAGCACCAAAGGCTTAGAGTCACTAATGGAAGATGCCTCACCCTCGTACAAAGCTCAAATTCAAACAGGCATCATTTAGACAATCCACCATTTAATGGGAAACAGGGGAAGGAGGAGATATGGGCTGCCCAGCTACTTCTGAGAGGAAGTGTGGGTTTAACTCCTCCCTCCCAGAGTTAAGGGGCAGCAGAAACTTTAGACCAGGAGCACAGAGAGTTCTACTACCATGGAATAGGGAGGTTTAACAGGGTGAGGTTGAACCAGCAGGAGGAGTGAGTGGGTCATCAATAGTTGTTAGGGTTTCTTTCGTTGTATGAACCCCATCTGGCCCCATCGAGGGTTCTGGGAACTTGGGGACATAGTGATGGATCCAGGACACGTAGCTCATCACTCGGGTGTATACACCAGGGAAGTCAGGAAGTCCACAGCCTTTGCCCCAGCTGACCACACCCACCTGGACCCAGGAGCAGTTCCACCTGCATACTAAGGGACCCCCGGAGTCTTCCTGTGTGAAAAGACAGGAATCAGCATTCCAGGCATCCCATGATGCCAGGGTGAATGAGCCCCAGTGTCCTGGGCCAGAAAGGGAGAGAGAAGAGAGGACAGTTGGCTCTCACCTGGCAGGAGTCCCGGCCCTGCGTCCCAGCACAAAGCATGTCATCCTTGATGATCCTGGTGTTGCTATTCAAGGAAAAATTGGCCTGGTACTTCTGCTCACAGTCTTGGTTTCCCACAATGGGGACTGCTACTTCCCTCAGGTGGTAGGGTGGGGGTAGAGGCACTGTGGAGAAAAGTCATTGAGAACCAAAGCTGGGGGCTGCTGCCTCTTCCCACCAGTGTTGACCATGGACGTGAGGTCTCCCCAATACCCACTGTTGTTCTCGATGACGCCCCAGCCAGTCACCCAGCAAGTCTTCTTTGGAGAGACCTTCTGGGAAGCAGCAGGGAGGGAGACAGGGTGGACATGCTCAGACAGCACAACTGGGGTGTCCAGTTTCAGCAGAGCAATGTCTGCACCCCCCATAGCAGACAGCTTCTCACTGAACTTGGGGTGGCGGATGATTCTGACTACTTTTCTTAGCTGGTCGTTTTCATAGAGCCTCAGCTGTCCAGCTTGGATCCTAAAGCCACAAGCCTCCAGATCTTTCCTGGGAGACAGGACAATGAACCCCTCAGAGAGGCTGAAGGGCAGGAAAATTAACCTCAGAACACACATAGGGATCAGAAGGTCTCAGAAATCCTGTCTCCGACTGGGAATCCTACCCACAAAGTACCACCCAGCTCCCAATGTCCATCTGCTCCCAGCCAAGGGAAGGGGTCACCCTACTCACGGCTGCACACAGTGGGCAGCAGTCAGTACCCACTGAGGATGAATGAGTGAGCCCCCACAGATGTGTTGCCATTTTCCGTACTCCATACTGTAGAACCTCAGGCTGACCTGCCATGGGAACCGACTGGCTGACACAGGGCAGCCCCCAACGATGCCATCCAACTCCTGTCCTGAACCGAGGTCTGGGGAAGCAAGTAGGAACATCAGACACCAGGCAGAGGTTTCCAGGGCTCAGGAGTCAATGAGCTTCCTGGCAAACTGACAGTCTGACATAACCCCAGGGGAGCTGGAGCAGGAATCTGAGTCAGGGACAGCAAAAGGGCTGGGGGTTAGGACTCACCAGGAGTCACAGGTACTGTGCCCCCCAGACTGGGGAGCGTGAGGAACAGCAGCCACAGCATCTTAGAGTCCCAGAGATCTCTGGTCCCAACCATCGGCTTCTGCAGCCAGGAGACCTGAGGGCAAACGTGCTAATAGACAGGAGCTTCACCCTGTCTCCCCTCGGGGCTCCCCAGGGTCCCATTTATCTTTCTTCCACAGGATGTGGGCATAGAGTGCAACATCTCTACTCCAGAGGTGCATGTTGTGGCCACACATGTCTTTCATTGGGACTGATATGAATTGACCAGGGAGTGCAAGTTCACTGCCTCCCAGGCAGGCAGGGTAGGCGGTGGGGCATGCCGAGCTTGGCAGCGTGCCCTGCAGTAGGTGGGTCAGGCTTGGCTGGGTGTTTGAAAAGAGAAAAACAAGATGGAGAGGCTAGTCTGCAGGACAGATTCTGACATGCTCTCCTGTCCTTAGCTAGAGTCGCTGCCCCTCCACCCACAGAAGCCTGGCACCTGGAGCTGATGAGACCCCAGTATGTGAGCTGCACTCTCAAAGGTCTTATAGGATCTTTCTAAAGGACTTGGGGGAGTCCTCGAAGCACTGCAGAATTGGTGGGTCAGAGTACACAGTTGGGTCCGAGGGGACATGGCCATCTGTGGTGACATGTATATGGAAGTGTGGAAGAGAGAAGCCAAGCCATCGCTGCTACTTTCTGGGGGCCACCTAGCCAGGCATAGACGTTCATATCCCAGCTTCCTACTACTGCTATAAGATCCTGAACACTGCAGACTTCTAGTGTGTCTGGCTCCCAGATCAGCTGGGTCTTTGTCAATGGCTGAGAGAGCATCCAGGCTTGGAGAAGGAGTAGAGAGGTCCTGCCTTACGAAGACCTTCGGGGAACCCCACAAAGTCAGAAGGGGCTCATGCCTATGCCCTTGAATCATGATAGGCATCCCTTGAGCCTGTCTGCATCCTCTGTTAGGGTTCTTGGGCTCCAAAGTTTCTTTGAGTCCAAAATGCATCTATAGAACCACAAGCAACAGGTGGGTCCCTAGAAAGAATCATCCTGGTTTCACCTTGATTCTGCAACCTTTTCCACGTGGTTGAAGAAGGCCTGAAGATGCCTCAGAAACACCTGAGGCTTAGAGGACAGGACAGGACAGGACAGGACAGGACAGGACAGGTGACGTGAGAGCTGGCATCCTGACGCAGGAGCAAAGAACAGTGTGTGTCCTGATAGTAGAGGAGTTGAGGGACTCTGTGTGTTCAGTGAGAAGGGAGAAACTGCTGTGGGTAAAACTGTGCCCCCAAATTCACCCAGGCCTTCATACCATGTCCAAATTTGGTTTTTGTTTTCGTTTTTCAACACTGAGTTTCTCAGTGTTGCGTTGACTGTCCTGGATATAGACCAGGCTGGCCTCGAACTCACAGAGATCCACCTGCCTCTGCCTCCTGAGTGCTGGGATTAAAGGCATGCACCACTACCATCCAGCATATGACCAAATTTGGACAAGAGGGTCTCCCATTTGCTCACTGGTTACTGGGGTTAAAGGCATGCGCCTCCACACCCATCTTGAAGACCTCAGGGCCTAACCAAAGCTCACCTCTGCCCCATACTCAGTGTTGCAACAGGAAATTGGAGAAGAGCAACAGTGAGCAGTTACTAACCTCTCTTGGACTTCTGGTCCAGTTGCATCACTGCTGAACCAAGGAATGCCACTTACCCTGCTGGACAGCCAAATGCCATTTGGATAGCTAGGGAAGACTTAGAGATGGGTTGGGAGAAAGGTAGGTGCCATATGTTAGCCAAACCCTCCAGAACGCCTTCCCATGTGCTGGCGTTTCTGACCACTGAAGTCACACAGAATCACACGCTTGCCTCCAGGGACACTCTTCAATGCTGTAGCCAGATTAGGTCTGTACTCTGTCATACATACAAATCACTGTGACAATAAATAATGATGCTGAACTTCATACTACCCAGAGGTACCACATCGCCATCACCCACCCAAGGTAGCAGACAAACTTTTTATTGGAGCTTAGACAGTAAAGGACTGACCCTCACGGAGGATACCCTCAACACTGCCGTGACCCTCACTGAGGATACCCTCAACACTGCCGTGACCCTCACAGAGGGTACCCTCAACACTGCCGTGACCCTCGGGGAGGATACCCTCAACACTGCCGTGACCCTCGGGGAGGGTACCCTCAATACTGCCGTGACGCTCAAGGAAGATGCCCTCAACACTGCCGTTGCATCTGTGCTTGGTACAGGACCTGTGAAGTCAAGGAAACTAAACCATCATTTTATGGTCGTAAGACTTCACTACTCAACCAGGTATGGTGATATATGACCTTTATCTCAGCATCCAGGAAGCAGAAACAGGCAAGTCAACCTGATCTACATAAGGAGCTCCAGGCCAGCCAAGATTGTATAATAAGATTCTATCTAAAATAAATAACATAAAATAAAAAAATTCCACAACCCATCTGTGATGCTGGTTTGTGTACATTGGTGGCATTCTTCTTTCATAGGTTCATACTAGTTCATACTTCTTTCATAGGGAATATAACAGAAATTTATCTAAGTTGGATATTGGGATGTATGCCTAATAAACCTGAGACGTCAGATATTTATAATATTTATTTATTTAGTTAGTTTTCTTTTATTTATTTCTTTCTTTTTTTTTTGAGACAGGGTTTCTCTGGCTGCCCTGGAACTCACTTTGTAGACCAGGCTACACAGAGACCCACCTCTGCCTCTGTCTCCTGAGTCTGGGATTAAAGGTGTTCACCACGACATGTTTAGTCAGGCTGAGTCTGATTTCCATGCATTTGAATAGTGACCTCCAGGCTTTATAGAGCTGTATCATATGACCCTGTGGAAGGAAGGAAGGAAGGAAGGAAGGAAGGAAGGAAGGAAGGAAGGA